CCTCCTCGTCATTCTTCTCCTCCTCCTTTTCCTCCTCCCCCTCATCCTCCTCTCCATTCTCCCTCTTTCCGCGTGCGTCATCGTCACAACAGTATGCTTTTCTTCACCTCCCCTGCGTGGGAGACAATTGATGACAGGAGCTGTCAATCACTTATTTTTCACTTAAATTTACTTATGATACTGCTCTGAAACCTGTCTCCAACACTTATATGCATTCACTTTACTGATTAATTATTGGTTTTCTTTGACTGAAACCACAATAAATACACCTCATCTTTGTTTTGATATTGTTATTCACAAAAAAGCCGCTTTATATGTTAAAAACTAAAGTAAATGACAAATGCTAGTCATTCACTCCCTTTTGTCTTGTCCAACATGAGGTATTGCACTTTAATTTCTCTCATTGCAAAAATGATGTGTGAGATTTAGGTGTGAGTGACAGCTTTTTCCCTTCCTCGTCACGCTACCTTAGCTGACTTTTATTTTGGAGGACAGAGGCGGTGGGAAATGGACATGCGGTTCCAGGGGGAGAGGAGCAGTCTCCCCACCACCATTTCTGCTCGACGTTGGGAAAGTGTTTGGCACTTGTCAATGGTGTGTGTGTGTGTGTGTGTGTACACTTCAGAGCTGAAACACTTCGGTGACTCAGTCACTACCCGCGTCAGCCACAGTAACTATAGGAACGGAAAAAAGGCTAGCAGAAAAGTCGAAGTTGGTTGACACTTTGTGCCACAATGACGGTTTGGATGGCTGCTCATTGCCTTAATTAAGTTTGTCTAGTGACAAGTCATTTTTATTTCGACTTATTCAACTGTGTTGTGAGAGTTGCTGAAACCGAGAGTCAAAAGACTTATTCGTCACGTGGGATAATGAAGTTGCTTTTTTTTTAATCTCACTAGTCGACTTTCTCATTTTCTAGATTGCAAACGGTGGGTGTTTGGAGAGAGCGCCACTTCTCTGCAATTCACCACACATAGTTACAGGTTCCGCCTTTCCATTGTCTGGTTAACTGAATGCCAAAAACTTGCTTTCACCAGTGGGGCAGCGAGGTGAGGTCATCATCAACGCGATCGACTCTACAACTTAAATTTTAACAATTTTTTTCCCTTATATAAAAACCGCTTCTTCTTTCGTAGTGAAGGTGGTCAAGGCGTCCTGCCAACTGTACTTCAAGGCGCCATTTTTTGCCTTTCATTGGCCAATTTATACTTAAACATTCGCCTGTCAAAAGTGGCATTGACAGTTAAGTTTTTTTAAGGATAATTAATTATGCAGTTACGTCATTCACCCTCCACCCTAAAATAGTCAACTTTACTGCTTCACACAAGTGTTGTAACGCCCACTGGAGTGGTAGTTGATGCCTCCTGTAGAAGTCGTTTCCATTATTCATAGACTCAATGAAGCAGAGCGAAGGTGCTTTATGTTTTGGCATTTGATGTGTAAAAGTACGTTGAAGGATTCTGTGTGGAGTTTAATTTGCCTTCATGAGGCATTTTTTCAATTCAAACAGCATTGCCATGAAAGTGATCTTTCTTCTCTGTCTGTAGAGGGGAGGGTTTAATTGTATGTCTCGGTTTAATTTTGAGACTTTTGAGCCTTTCTGAGTACTTGATGCTTTTTCATGTGCGTTCATCTCTACAAAGCGCCCAGAAGACGATCATCTTACCAGCTTCAGCAATCCTCCCGTAGGCGTTGATGTAGAAGCCTTACCGTCTGAACATCCCAGCAACAATCTTTCATTACGTTGGTAGAGAGTTTAAGATTCGGTTGGTTGCTACCTTCCATGCTAGCCGTGGAGACCCTTCAAAGAGGAGTTTTCCGCCACTGGGAAAGTAAAATGTGGAGGAGACAATCCTACACGATTCATAAAGCGTCTAACCGACTAATTCACACGTGACGAAGACCTTATTTTGACAAATTAGGCACAAACTGCACACTGACGAGGGAGTGGAAGTCGAAGTCTCCAAAGTGGTTATGGAGTCTATTTGTCCTTCTCCATGATCCCGATGACGCTCAATCAAAACACCCTCAGCCACCTTACCGGAGTAGAAGAGGTTGATTTGACTCGGGGAGATTTCCTCTCTCCATTCCTCCGTCATCACTTCTGCCATTCAATGCAGATATTTCTTGACTTTGAGGCAGAAGAGTGGACAAACACTCCACGAGGGTAGGACACTTGACAGATAAAAGGGCACGGCAAATGTTAAACCTTTTCTTTCTCATAATGTTTGTTGCATCCACGAGATGACTCTTTTCTATCCACCAACTTTCACATTAACCACAAAAAGTTGTTTTTTTAATGGTGAAAAGGATTTCAGTCCACCTCACAAATTTGTTAAATTATGCAGGCAGAGTTCTACCACAAACCAACCGGTTTTGGGTGGTCGGCTTGAATAAATATGAAGAGTTTGAGTCTACTGAATACACTCCCACATTGAGGAAGGAAAAAGGGAGAATAAAAAGGGAAAGGCTCCTAAAAAGCCGTTTGCTTTGGGACGTGCCTCCTCCCGCTCAACTCTGTTGGTGACTTTATGAGTTCAGTGGCGATGCCGATGAAAAGCATCTAAACATCTTGGCTTGTCCGTCTTGATTTAGTGCTGATCAATGATGCCATGCTAAAAGTGCTGCCCCAGAAGTGGTGTCGTTGTCGATTGTCATGGACAGTCGGTTTAAAGCACCTATCAGGGAAGGCGGCACATCCCTAAAGCGCAATGAAATACATTAGTATTGCATTAACATGGAAGAAGAAAACAGTTCGCTTGGTAGGCATGACATAAGGCAGTCTCATACCTCCCTTTGAATGGAAAATTCTTTGATAATAATTTTGAAATCGGTGGGCAAGGAGGAGGGCGAAGAAGGGAGGGCTAAAAGGGAGGTAGAGGGCAACCTCTATGTCTTTTCAAGAGCTACTACCTATTCCTTTCATCACATTAAACTTGCATTTTATCGCATTTTTAGTGATTTTAACACAGAGGACAAATTAGAACATTTCAAATTTTGCCGAGAGGATTACAATAAGCCACTAGGCAGTAAAGTTCAAAGTCAACTTATGACCTGTTGAAAAGGATTTTGGGGTTGTGAACGCTATGCACCATGCCTTGTTCGCCTTCATTTAAGCTTCTTTTAAAAGAATTTAAAGATTTATAAGTCCTTTTTTAGTTAAATAAATGTGATCGAATCAATTGGCTGTTGTGCCAATAAGTAGTATATGCATATCCAAAATCAATTTTAACGTGTTATTGAATAGAACTCAAAAGATCAATTAAGAGGTTTACAGTGGCTTGCAGCTAAAGGTTAGAATCTGGAAAATTGCTTGCCTTTTAACCAGCGTCTGCATTATTTCTTGTTGCAGAAAAAGGGCTCAAAGCCACGCTTTGGTTTGCACAGTTCCCGAATTTAGGAGGTTAGTAGTCCTTATTTTATTCCAAAAAAAAAGGAAACAAGTCATTAAACACTTTCTTAGAAGGTAAATCCAAGACCACTGACAGGGTTAATTTTACGTTCTTTATTCGCAAAAGTATTTGACATTCGCCTTTCTTACAGTCACCGATATGGTCCTGAGATGTGTCCAACCGTGGTCCATGTGATGGTCAAATTTTTTTATTTAACAGACTTTGGTAACTCGAAGGGGGCACAGCGTTGTAGAATTTACGAATGGACCAAGTAATAAGAGGTGCAGTATGAGTGTAAGAATTGTTGTGAATTTGGCAAGTTGTTTGTTGGTCTATAGGAAGGCATTACAAAGCACGGTTTGGCCCGTCCTTCTCTGCTGATGACAAGGAATTTTTCTTGGTAGAATTTCATCGTGTCACCTTTTGTTTGCACGGTTCTGCATCAGCTTTACACTCTTATCCCTTCATCCGTGAGGCATATGAGAAAGAGGAGGTTTGGTGTGGCTGGTGGGGAAAAAACGTCCTGATGGAAAGTCCTCCTCCTCCTCCTCCTTTTGCTTTTCCTTAACCAGCAGTTCACAGTCTGCGTTTCTTTATTGACTCCACTGATTGCATGCAATGGTAATGAAAGGTGGACAGTTCCTCACTTCCACATCGCATCCACATAGAAATCGTAAGCCACAAGGTCTTGCACACACAAATTTGTGGATGAACATTAACACCATGGATCACCAAATGGCTACTCGTCACCCCCTCCTCCTCCTCCTCCTCCTTCAGGTCAAATGAACGCTTGGATTTTTGATTGTTTGGTGGATGGTGGATTGACAATTCGACCGGTTGATTAAAGGATGGAGAGAGGCCAGAACTGGTGAAGTGTTAACTGGTTGTTTAGGCGACTGGGAGGTCGAAATCATAATTGTTTTCTAAAGTCAAAAAATCACAGCCTTTGTTGTTGTTGTTGTTCTTGTTGTTGAAGTGCTGTTAAATCCACAACTCTTCTTCTTTAGCCTTCTCTTCCTCACCTCTTGACTGGGACAAAAATGAATCCCATGACTGAGTGAACAAATCTCCGGAGACAAAGAAAGATCCCACATTGCACGGCACAATCAATTTCATTCGTTCAAACAGCTGCGCACCATCGTAAGGAGGGAAGAGGAGTGGTTTGTCACCTTCACATTCACCTAAATGCGTGTGATAATCTCGTCATAGAATCGAGTATTCGTGTGATTGACTGTCCGACCGAATGACCGGCCAACAGACAGGCAGTCGAGGCTCGAGCTTAAGTTGTTGGCGTTAAAACACCTTCAAAAAGTTATGCTAATTCCAATTACTCTTTCTCAAACTCCTAGCATCGGAAAACTGGGTGCAAGCCTCTGGAAGGCGATACTTCATATTTCACATCTCATGCCATTGTTAATATACTACTCACTTCAATTCAGCGGCGTGGTGATATAAATTTTTACGTGTATTGCCCAGGCCAGAGGATGATTTCGAGGCAATTTTATTCCCTTGATTTAACAAAAATAGCACTGCGCGTCGGCGCTTTTGGGCCAACTTGTCCACCTTTTTTTGACAAAATTAAATGTAACCCAACAACCAGCAGCACCGACAAATTCACCGGACTATGAAGCCTCCCGTCAGTATTGTTGCAACGTCTGTCATTTAGCAGCCATTTCTTGAAAGCAAAGAAGGTTCCTCACAATACATGCTGGAAGGGCAAATAATTTTGACAAATTTTTACCATAAAAAGGTGACCGAGTGGTCGACAACAAATAATGCTTTCGCCATTGAAAGTAAAGCGCTGTAATTTCTACTTGTAGTTAATTTTGAAGGTATGTCGGTCTTTTGTGGCAGTATAAATTAATAAAGGTAGGCCTATGGTGGTGGCACACTCCTTCCATCCAAAGGCATAGGAGACACAGCAGTGAATAATTCATTCAACTTATACAAATTTGTTTTCCAAATACACAAGGGATAGCCAAAGGTAAAAAAACCACACACACACACACCCACACCCACTTACAAACAGACATAAAGGCGTCTGTTTACCAAAACCGCTAGTGCCACCTTTTACCGCTTTTAGATTGCACTGAATTTGTGAGTGTTGCCACTTTTCTAAGCTTAACTAGCACGTTTCTGCCTCAGCTAAGGTTCTTAAATTGCATCTGGCTTTAAAATTTTAACCTTAAAAACAAAAGTTACCACCAACATGAAAGTTTAAAGTCGAGTACCTGTCACTCCTACGCTTCGTAGTGGTTTGGTACATCGGTTAGCACTCATTGCGTTGATCAAGCTTAGACGGAGATCCTTTAAATGGGCGAATTCTGTGTCTCCACTCGACGCGCACTATCGAGACCTGTTGGCCGTGGAATGCCTGAGGCGATGCAAGTCAACGCCTTTTGGAAGACGCTTGACATGCGCGCTCATGCCATCACAAATCAGCGATCAGAACACAAAAAAGGACCTTTGGAAGGAGAGTCAAATGTCCACCTTTTTTAAGTCGTGGCTTTCGAAGCTGCCCTCATCAGGAGCTGCTACCACATGAAGCCAACGAACAGCTTAGGGATGAACTGTAAAGAGGATTATATAGGCGGTAACTTGTTAGTCAAGTTTCATGGCTATGACAGCAAAGGTTTAAACATCCTTCCACTTTTTCGGCACTTTCACATAAGATTTGATCGTATATTTTCACTAACAGTAAGTAAATGAGAAGGAGAGTAGCGACTGCCTCCCTTCATCTCATCACCCCTTTCCACACGATGACATCAACGCTGGAGGAGGATGATGAGGATGAAGGAAGCGAAAGTAGAGCGCGTTTGGATTGTAGAAAAGTGTATTGAAGGAGAAAAAGTCCATCCGTGCTTGGTGGTTGGTCTCTATGCGGAACGATTGCGTCTGCTTAGTATTGTGGTACACAAAGCCACTCAAAGTGGAAACATTATTGTGAAGTCGGAG